CCAAAACTAAGTAAACAAACAACATAATAGAGAAGTCTGTAGTATAGTCAGGCTGGCGGTGTGATTTTCAGTATCTACCTAGCGTGGATATTTCACGTTTTACTAATTACAAATCACGTACAGGTGTGATATTACTAGAATCTACTCACACCTACCGCGGTATTGGAACTGCTTCGGAGCTCTCAGGAAGGCTGTGGCTGCAGTTGCTGTGGCTCCTGGCTGACCAGGTGCTCTGGGACCTTCCTTGCCTTGCATAGTGGTGGCTGAACCAGCAAGTAGCATTAGTATTTGTTGCAACTTGGTTAGAAATGCAAACTCATGTCCTACCCCAGACAAACCGAATCAGAATTGTCTTCCGCTCCTAATGCCACCATCCACTAGCTGTGCCCCTGTAATCGGGCCATTTCCTCTCTTTGTGGCACTTTGTCAGCTATGGTTTGTAGCATCTAGCTCTCTGAGTTGTGACCAGAAGGTCAGATAGAGTCACGATGACTGCACCTCAGCTGGGGTGTTCTCAGGACATGATTCAGGGGGTCCCAGGGCTCTGATGTGTCCGTGGAATCTTTCACCCAGTCTTTGCAATCCCCCAAGCCCTTTCACAAGAGTTCATTCTTTCATTCAGTGAGTTACCATGCGGATCCTGAGACCCCATGCCACCTGCACACAGGTATGTTCTTGGAAGATTCTGTTTGTTCCTGGATACTTGCTAGTTAGTCCTCCTTCCATCCTGTGGTCATACCCAAACAATTATCTCCACTGTCCTCAGAACAGCCCCTTAAGTCATGGGAGAATGATTGATAGCCACAAGCCCTGTCGCCTGTGTCCTTGTCCCACCTCATGCGTCTTCTCTGCTGATGTAACTTTCAGTTTTCTGCACAGCTGCTCTCTTTGCTGACCCCTTGGTTGCTGCCCCTTTGCTTTCTGAAGACACCCTGTGCTTAGTACTATTTCCCTCTAAGAGTTCTGCGACACTCCTGAATACAAAGGTGGGAAGACGAGCTGAGACTCCAGGAGCTCTGGATAGGGCAGGCAGGGAGCAGCATTTCAGGCAGGGAGGCATGAAGCCAGGGACCTCCAGATGGCTGGGCATGCTGCTGGAGTGTAAGGAGAAACTAGGAACCGTAGAAGCCAGAACAGCACAGGAGGAGGTGAACTTGACTCTGTTAATGACAGGGATCACCGATGCACTTTCAAAAGTGACATGCCTCCGTGTGTCCTTTGGTAAGAGCAATCTGGCTCCTGCACGAGGACAGGGAAGGCATGAGAGTTGGAAAGTTGGTTAACTGAACATCGGAAAGGTTGGTGATGTGGGGGGAAAGTCATGGACTGAAGTCCCCCCAAACATACATGAAAAGCTAAGTGATCTTCTCTCTGTGAGGTCGAGACAGTGAGTGATTGTACCTCTCCCAACTACGTTTTCTAATTTCTCTTTCATAAGCATTTTCTGTTTTCTCTGTAATAAGCATGTATTATTTATATAGTAAAATAATTTATGCATATCTATTAATAGTTGAAAATCAAGCTAGCAGGATTTGGAATCTGGTTGGCAGGAGAGTCTGGGTAATGAACCTTTAGTGCTGATGCTCATGTGCATGGTATGTCCACCAAAGAGGTAGGGGGCACAAGGAACAGAGCGTATACCTCATTGGTGCTGTTGATGATGGAGTGAAACACATGGGCTGCTATGACTCCCGGTTGGTATCTTCCTGGTGGTGCCTCATGGTTCATGAAGTCAACTGTCCATCCTACACCTACTGGACAACTGACTCCACTACTCTAGAACCCGGCCCTGTGGTACGGCCACTCAGAGGACACACTTCTCATGCTGTCAGTAAATATTTACCCAGTGTGATGAAAAGAGCAGGCACAGTCTATCTTCACAAAATGCCACCTAATTGGAAAGACAGACATAAATGGTTTTAAATCCCTGTAACACACACGGCATTCAAAACATACAATTCAAATGGAATGTTACAAAGGAAAGCAAATGGTTCTGAGAGGGCATATATCAGAGGAAATGGCTCTGATGAGGGGCTTGCAGGATTCTTGGGGAGGGAGCTGCTTGGGCTGAGAGCTGGAGAACTGGTGCCCGAGAACATTCAGAGAAGGCATCCTGAGGGGAAGGACTAGGCCCCTGGCTGGGCGGTGGGGTAGAAATACAGCCGCACCATCCTTAATGATGCTGTGTCTGAGAAAGGTACACTAGGTGTTTCCATCATCGAGTGAATGACCTATCACAAGCCTCCTTGGTACAGGTCAGTTGCTGGAGGTGGCCTCTTCATACAGAGATGGAGCAAGTACAAGATGCTGTACTTCCTGCTGTCACCACACCATTCATCACGAGCATTTCAAAATGACTTAAACATGTTACTTCATTCATCTGTTAAGTGGGGTGTGTGTGTGTGTGTGTGTGTGTGTGTGTGTGTGTGTGTGTGTGTGGTGTGTGAGGCGTGTGTGGTGTGTGTGTGTGTGTGTGTGTGTGTGTGTGTGTGTGTGGTGTGTGTGTGGTGTGTGTGGTGTGTGTGTGTGTGTGTGTGGTGTGTGTATGTGTGTGGTGTGTGTGTGTGTGAGGCGTGTGTGGTGTGTGTGGTGTGTGTGTGTGTGAGGCGTGTGTGGTGTGTGTGTGTGTGTGTGTGTGTGTGTGTGGTGTGTGTGTGTGAGGCGTGTGTGGTGTGTGTGGTGTGTGTGTCTGTGTGTGTGGTGTGTGTGTGTGTGTGTGTGTGTGTGTGTGTGTGTGTGTGTGTGTGTGTGTGTGGTGTGTATGTGTGGTGTGTGTGTGTGTGTGTGTGTGTGGTGTGCCACAGCACACATGTGGAGGTCAGAAGGCAACTTGTGTCGATTCTCTCCTTCATCCATGGGACCCCCAGAGATCAAACTCCAACAGTACAGTAAACACATTAAGAAGTCACACCGCCATCAACTATCATCTTTAAGTATGACATACTGTCCATAACTGGGTGTGTCATGTGATTGTCATAGGAAGCACCGCAGTCATGTGAGGGGTACGTGTCTTGGTCAGTGTTACGACAGTCATGATGTCAGCAAGCAACAGGCACTTTGAGCTCCGCTTTAGTCCTCGGGTACCACACGTTCTGTGGCACATGGCTGAGGCATCTTTGAATCTAAGAGGAAAGCTACTTGACTGAAATCCAGAGAGAGGGATAGGGCAGGGACTGTATGGAGAGGGGGATGGGCTGCGCCCTACGGTGCCTTGCAGAGCACTAGGATGTCCTGGTCTTCCTCCTAAGAGGCACTGAAGGTTCCTGAGTGGCTCTTTGTGTGGCCTGTCTGGCTTCCTTCCAGGTCACAGCTATTTCTGTGTCTGTCACCTGTCTGTTTCTTGGCACTTGAGGCTGGTGCTGGAGGCCTGATGTCGCCCTGGTGGCCCAGCAGCCAAGATGGGGTTCCTAGCTTCTGTGGGGAGTACTTAGAAGGCTCCTCGGCACCTATCAGCCTTTTCTGGAAGTTGCTTTGCAACTCAACTTTCCTCATGGCCTGGCAGACTTTAATGCTAATGTGTATACAACTTGCTAATTAATGGAATCATTTGGATCTGAAAACATCTTGCTCTAATGGGAGCCTGCAAAGTGCTCACATTAATTCACAGGTAACATTATTCTAGCTTTCTTTTTTATTTTTTTTCCTTTTCCTTGGCTTGGCTTAATAGCTGGGGAGAGTTCTTCTAATTAGTCTTGTGAAAACTACTGGCCACAGCTCAGAGCTTTGGTGAGTGCTTAGGGGCTTGAGAAATGTGGCCCGCTGTAGCTATACAGGGTTGCAGGGCCATGGATGAGTGTCAAAGAACAGAACAGAGCAGAACAGAAAGATCTTGGTATCTGAGAGGATGGGAAAAGGTGATAAGTCCTATGAAGACACTATAAACATGCCAGCCCCGTGTGGGACTTCAGGGGCTTTGCTGTCCTGTGGGTGCCGGAGGTGCCCTCGGGATGGTGTTCTGTGTGACTGTCTTCACCCTGCTCTCCTGGAACGTGGATGCCAATGTACTTGCTGTTCACAGAAAGCTCGCAGGAACTGCTTTAGGCTCCAGAGTAAGCTGTCATCATCCCTCATCATCTTGCCACAGCCCTTTCCTGGTAACATTCCTAGTGAGCATCCCTAGTGCAACCCCTTAAATGCCCAGCCCTCTCCCCTAGAACATCAGAACAAGCCTGCCAACTCTGGGGACTCTGGGGTACCCTGAGAAGATGAGTGTGGCTCAGGGGCTCTCTGTATATTTGCTCCAGTGTCGTCTGATCTGCAGAACTTTCTTCATCTCCCAAACCAAAACTCCATGCTGTTAAATAAGAAGTCCCTTTCTATGGAGCTTTTGAGTGTGAGACATTCAGATGATGTATCCCCTGATAGAACTGTGTACTACTCAGTGGTCCCCTTATTTACTACTAAAAGGGTACCTTTAGAGCTACACTGTTGGTCCTAATACAGTAGTTCTCAGATGTATCCTGCTGGGAAGGTAGTTTCTTCACTGGATATCACACCCTCCTGGATTCCTTCCCATCGGGCTGATCTGTGTTTTAGAGCAGGTGGGCTGATGATAGGCTCTAGTAATCCACCACAGAGAAGCCTGGTGAGATGACTAAGTCCTGTGTGGTTGTGGGTAGTCACAGTGAGTTCTCTTTGTGCTGAGCTCTAGGAGAAAACACACTGTCTCTGAGATGGGCTATTTAAAATCTTGATAGTTGCAGATGAAAACAACATGTTCTCCCCCTTGGAAGTACAGCATCTGCTGATCCTTTTATTTGGATGTGCCTCCAGGACAGATTTGGAGTCAAGCCAACCTGAATTTAGATTCTCGCTCTTTCATTCATGGGCTGTGACCTTGAGCCTCTGTTTCTTCATCTGAAACACGGGACGGGTGACTCCCACTCGAGTTGTTAAGAAGATTGCAGGAGGCCATGTTATCGTGGTACCTAAGGCAGCACTGGCTCAAAAGAGGAGGCGGAGGTTCTGCCGCTGCTACTGTTGATGATTCTGTTGCACAGGTCTCCAGGTGGTCCTGAACTCCATCATCAAGGCCATGGTGCCTCTGCTGCACATCGCCCTGCTCGTGCTGTTCGTCATCATCATCTATGCCATTATCGGCCTGGAGCTCTTCATGGGGAAGATGCACAAGACTTGCTACAACCCGGAGGGCATCATAGGTAAGAGGTGGGGCTCTGGGCAGCAGGTACCCAGGAGGAGGGTGCTCTCCTCATAGCTGCTTCCCATGGAGTGGATGGCTGCAGCCACCTGTCCTACTGAACTGGATGAGGCATTCAGTTTCCCACACTTCAAAGCACAATGAAAGGCAGGGGTCGGCATTTCCCCCCTCTCATTTCCAGTGTCTGCTTTCACGACTGCAAATCTCTGTTCAAACGGCAGGTGTAAGCTTTGTCCAGCACTGCTATACACCACGTCAAGGATCTACACAATTAGAGAGGCAATTAAAGACTAAGCGCCAATCTTGTATCAGTTTCTCACTCTTGAAGCTGATTCTGTGTATGTGAGCTGCCACTACGAACTGTTGAGCATGTGTATCCAGTAGTACGCCAATGCGGTCCAGCATCCAAGCCCTTCAGGGAGCCTGTACCACCAACCCCCATCACCACCCATCTTTCTACCCTCTTAGAGTTGTCCCTGGCTCCCTTGCAGCTACTATTTTCTTCTCCATTTAAAGGCAGAACCCCCAGTGTCCCTCCTTATCAGAGAATGAATGAAGAGGCTGCCATTGAACACCCCCTTGCCACCAGTAAAATCTATGTTCCTTGAAGAAACGGTTCATTCAGCTCCATGTCACAACCATCAATCCTGCCTTTCTGAGCCTCCCCTCTTTGTGTTCCTTCCATAAATCAATGAATTTAACAGGCAGTGCTGGCTCATTAAGCACCAGAATTTTGGCTTGCAGGATAAGCTATAGACTGCTCTCTTAAGTGGCTAGTATTTTAACTTGACCTTTAACAAAATTAAACAGGAGGCTAGGGAGGTGGCTCAGTGGTGAAGAGCACTGAGTCTTTCAGAAGACTTTCAATTCCTAGCATCCACATGGTGGCTCATAACCTTCTTTAACTCCAGTTCCTGGGGATTATACACCCTCTTCTGCTTCTGAGGGCACCAGGTACACAGATCATACACAGACATACATGGGAGCAAAATGTTCAGATACATAAAATAAAGTAAAAGAACTATTAACCCTTCTCTTTCTTAAAAAAAACCAGAAATTAATAAGGCTTTAAACAGACAAATAAAGTAGTCATATATATGTATATATATTATACACACACACACACACACACACACACACACACACACACACACACACGTATGTGTATACAACACACAACATTGGATTCCAAAGCTATAAGCTGTTACATTATTTCATTTTTAAAAGCAGGTCTGTCGTTTTCATTTGGGCATTATTCAGGAAAAGGGAGAGCACTGATATCTGAGACTTCCTTCCTCTGTGTACTCTCACTCCATCTAGCCCAAGCGGCAAGTTAGGTCTAGTGGGTGATGGCACCAATCTGTTTGACAGAGAGAGATGAAAAACTCCCACCCAGAAGCCAACATCACTACCTAGTATGCAAAGGTTATTGTGACTAGGTTGACTGGCTAGGCATCTTCAAGGTTGCTCAGTCATCAGAGAGTCACAGCAAGACATACCACACCTATAAATCTATATTTACAGAATCATCTTATTTTTACTTAAAAAAAGATTCTGTGTAAGATTAAAATTTTCACTCTGAAGAGAATTTCCAAATTGTTTGAGTTGTAATTGTGTGAAAATGGTGACAATTTAAAATATGTTAGCTGATACATAATTTTTAATTGGAAGAGCAAGTTCCTGCATTCAGCCAAAATTCTGAGACATTCAGCCCAGCTTTAAAGAATACCAGCCAACATAATGATCAGTGTCTCCTTTTAATTCAAATCCTTCTTCTTTCTCAGTTGATCTGCAGCTAACCCCAAACCAGTAACTTACCTAACTGATCTCTAGCTAACCCTTAACCAGTTCGGTTACTGGTAGAGCTTGTTTGGAGCTCCTTAAGGACGAGCCACATCATGAGTAAATTTACGCAGTTATACTATGTGACCAGTGACCCACTGAACCCAAACTCGCCAGACTGTCACAGAGACACAGAATCTCAGCGATTCCCCATCAAGTTGGCAGTGACTCATGGTGGGACACTCACCAATGAAACAGGGAGAAACAGGTTCTGTCATAGAACCAAAGACAGCGACTGTACCATGCCATCAAACATTGGTGTGGTGTACCACAAAACCATGGAGAGCTGCTGAAAACCTTCAGCCATCTCTGTCATCTTAAAGGAAAGATGATGGCAGAAATATGTCTTTTCCTGCTGGCAAGGGTCCTGCAAGGCTGTGAGCAGAATGCAGCCTTGAATAATTATTACAATCATGAGGTTTGTTACTGGGTCTCAGTAGCCTCAAATGGCAGGAAAATGGTGAGTGTCATAGTCCAAGAAACAAGATGGCGACCTCTTCCTAGAGTCCAGCCAGAAGTCCTGTAGAAAGCCGCCTCCAGAACCAAAGACCTGCTTTGTCTGTCCTTAGAAGACCATACTGGGCTTCAACTTTTGAAGGGGTCAGCGTAAGGCCATACTGGCCTTGGTAGTAAACAGGGTCAGGAAAATCATTGGCAGTACCTCATGTATCCTTCCACAACACTCATGACATCATTTCTGTGATGGGTTTTTAGTCCCTATCCAGCAGCTTCAGAGGCCAGTTAGTCTCCTGGGTGGAAACCAAATGACCAGGGTGTCAGGGCAATGAGAGTGATGTCCCTCAGAAAGGTGCCATGAGGCTCCTGTAGGAGCCAGAGCCACTACTGGGAAAGAGGTCAAGGATTCCTGGCTGCAGCAGCCTCACATTCAGAACAGAGCAGTTAAATTTCCCACTTCCTCCCTCTTCACTCTTCACACTGTCTGCCCACAACACAGAGTCTTCTAGCTTCTCCCAAAAAACAAAAACAATCAAACAAACAAAAAACCCATCATTTGGTACCCACAAGGTGAGTATTCCCAGTAAGGAAGAGACAGCTTACAGGGATCTTGTCACATTCCTATCTGTAGACAAGGAAGTCCAAAACCCTGCAGAACCAGCATCGGCGTGCTTCAGAGTTCTATAGAACCTTTGGGATGTTTTGTTTGCTTGGGTTTTTATTTTGTTTTTTTTTTTTGTTGTTGTTATATTTTAGACTTCAGATTTAATTAGCATATTTTCTGTCATATTTAAATTTTACAAAAGGCTTAGTGAGTCTTTGTTATAATATTAATGGTGTATGTATGTATGTATATATATTTCCTTTTAAACTCTGATATTATTTCACAGACTGAATTTTATAGTCTTCTAAACTTTCTAATCCATGTTTCTTGTAAGATCCCTGCAAGGAATTTTTGGAGCCTGCCAGGGAGCTATTGTTCTGTCTTTAGGCTTCTCTTTCTATGTCCAGTGTCCAATGGTGCTGGTCTCAGAAGAGGCTGTCTTCCAGAAATCTCTCCAGCAACTGCAAGGCATCCTCCTGGTTGCTCAGCAGATAAGTTGCCATATGCCGATACCTTTTGTTTCTGGTGTCCCATCTGTCCGGTGGGATCTGGAGCCAGGCACTCGGTAGCTCGCCCCAGCACGATAATTACCCCTGAGACTGGCACAGAATTTGTTGGCTAAACCTAGCAATGAAATCACTACCATTCTATTTTGTCCTTCAAGATGAGACCTACAAAATGTAATTGCTGTTGTCTTGGTAGTTTTTCCTTGGAACACTGCCGACAGCTCCCCCAGGATTCCGTTCTTGCCGAAGTTGAGTCCGTTTCTAAAACCTCCTTTATTTTACCAAACACTAATTTGATCTTTCCACACTGACTATTCTCTTCAATTCTGTTCTAAAGTGTATAGTCCACATAGCTTTATTTCTCCTATTTTCCTACCTAGGCCCTCATGACCCTGCAGAAGAAAACCAGCACATCCCATGGTTAAGCTTAGTTCCCTCGCCCTGGCGTGCATGTCACTGGGACCTGCTGATCTGTGCGTTCACATTTTTCAAGTGTTCCTTTTTATAGATACCTATTTTTACTGGATCATCGCTGCTTCTTAATTGTTCTGTGATTTTTTTTTTTATTGTTCAGGGGAGATTTAAAATAGCACAGCAGCCTTTGAGCCTGTGGACGATCTTCCCGAGGCCCATTCCTTTCCTCCCACTATCCGTGAGATCACTGCCCCTTGGTGCCATTTTTTTTCTAACATATATTTGTAAATTCGCCGAATCCGTTTTCCTCCCTGCGAGCACTTAGAGCTGGCTTTGGCAGTACCCCACCCCTTCCCCATTTCTACTGTTTTAGTAACTGAAGATCTGGGACAGACTGTCCACCTAGGAGCCACAGTATGATAGATACCCGCATCTCTATGTGAAAAATAAACACGAGCGAAATGCAAGTTTCCCTTTCTCTTTTCACCCCCTCTTTTGTTCCCTCTGACTCTAGAAAGCTGGTTCCAGAATAGAGTGGAATTAATGGTCTCTTTGGTTCTTGGTTTCCCCATTTTTCAACTCTCATTTTTTAGAAGCTTTGCTTTGCTATTTTTAACGTATTATTTAGGTTTGAAAATAACTTTCATTTCTCTACTTTCAACAGCTTTAAATCCACATCTCTAAAGATTTGACAATCTTAAAAGTCATTAAAAAAAAAAAGTTGTAACGAGGGGTAGTTCAGTTCAGCTTCCTTACTATGTAGCCTCTGGAAGCCAGACCGGGGATAAGAAAATGGTATGGACACTTGCTACCCTCAGACAGCTCGGAGATCAGTAATGTAGACCTCTCCCCTTGGTCACTGAATATAGCACCAGGCAGAGAGAATAAGCCAGGAAGCAGCTTTATTCTGAACAGCCCAAACCTGGGAGTGTGCCAGATGCCCATCATCTGGAGAATGTATAAACATGCAGTGAAATATACTGCTCAGCAACACAAAGGAACAGGCCGGACTGAGATGCGACAGCGTGGTTGAACTCAGAAGCACTGTGCCGAAGACGAGAGGGGCCTACAAAGGGCCTCTTCGGGTGTGATTTTATTTATATGACACTTAAAGAAAGGCAAGCTCTGAAGATGGAAAACAAATCAGCTTGTTAGGAGTTGGGGACAGAAGCAAGAATGGACCACTAACAAGGACACGGGAGTGGCATAGAAGAGGAAGTGGTGGGTGTCACTGCTGTCCCCAGGAAGATACTGGCACACCGTTTGAACCACAGCCCCCGCCTCCATTCTCCTAAGAATCCTCGCACAGTTAAGGGTTAACATTTCTCTGCCTCTCTTTTTCTTGAGAGTAAACTGTTTCAATTAGGGGCCTCAGACACCGACAGCCATCCAGCTAGTCATCTTCCATAAACAGCCTGCATCCCATGGGCCAAATAATCCCACTGTGATGGTTTGGATCCTTATAAAAGAAGAGGAGATTCTGGGTATCTTATTATCTCTAAATGAAGAACCACAGGCAAATTCTCTCTCTGGAGTTGCATTTTCGGCGTCGTCAGAGGCAATTGTTTGTTCAAACTCGGGTCTTCTGTTTGTTATTGCCATTACTTTCTACAGAGGCAAGATAAAACCCTCGGTTTCACAAACTGAATTCCTTACTTTCTCTCCTGCTTTCCAGAGCAGCGTCCACTTGAAATGGATGCATCGTTACTACTTTCTAATTGGCCGCTCGGACAGGATGCCATGCTATGGCAGACTAGACAATACCTTGGTGTCTGTGAAGTCAATTGTGACTAAAATGCCGTGTTCACAACACTTGCTTGAAAATACTGACCTATGTCACTGTGCCCCTGAAATGAATGTCTGGGCTCATGTGTTTTTAACGCCCGTGTGAGGGCACTAAATGAAATGTGTGCCATGGGTGCTGTGGTTACTCGTCAGCCTTGTCCTGTTACTTTTCTCTCTAACTTTCTCTCTTCGTTCTCTGCCCATCACTGCCCCTCCTCCTTCTGTCTCCTGTTTCCTTGGTGGTGATGTTCCAGCAGAAGAGGACCCTTCCCCTTGTGCTTTGGAGACAGGCCATGGGCGGCAGTGTCAGAACGGGACCGTGTGCAAGCCCGGGTGGGACGGGCCCAAGCATGGCATCACCAACTTCGACAACTTCGCCTTCGCCATGCTGACGGTGTTCCAGTGCATCACCATGGAGGGCTGGACAGACGTGCTGTATTGGGTACGCAGTTGGGGCACTTAGAGGGTGGGCATGTGGAGGGCCTGAGGCCTCTCTTGACATCTCATCTTCCTACCCATGATATCGGATTACACGTGCTCCCACAAGCTGAGATGGTGGTCAATGAATGTCTTTGATTTGTTCTAGCACTTTCCTGAGGAACAAAGCCTGGCATGTCCACTTTTGTAAGGTTCCCCCCCACCAACCTTAGCAAGGGTCCCCTTTAGCTTGCCAACCATGGTCTGGGCCACTGGTGTGCAGCTGATGCTGTGCACATGAGCTGGGCTACACCTGACAGAAGAGCTCCGTCCCGCTCCTCTTCCTGCTCTGGAATTCCTTCTGCTTTTCACCTTTACCTGTCTCTTACCTAAAAGGAAGCTACAGGCAGAATTCTCAGAGAAAAGTCAGGTGTGATCTAAAAGGAAACACCACAAAGAAAACTGACTTATGTAGCCTTGTGGCATGCTGCTGTGTTTTGATTCTCATGTTAGTTTTAACATATTATACTACTCCTTCAAAGTCCCTCTCACAGTCAGCCAGAGACTTCTCTGCTCGATGTGCAATGCGTATTTAGAAATACACATTCCGGGTGCCAACCCATCTTGAGTATATTTCCTTTAACTTTAAAAATGGCCCTCAGAAGATCTCACTAGCCACCACTGCTCTGCCCACCACTGAGTCCTTGAAGTGCCAGTAATCCACATACCGTATCTGAGCTGTCTTCACTCTGTCAGAATGGAGTCCATTATCTGTAAAAAAAAAAAAAAAAAAAAAAAAAGCACGGAAAATACCATCTCTGTGATGTGGTGTTTCCCACTTCAGCATGAGAAATGACTTGCCAGAATCCAGTGTTGCTCTTCAGATTTTGGGTGAATAAAGCGTGCTGCCAGTCTTGAAAATAACATCTTTCCCAAGTTTCTCAAACAGTCAAATCCATTCAGCCCTGGTGAAAACATCTGAGAGGCTGCATACTCCTGTCTGCAAACTAGAGCAGGGCGGTGAGAGAGAAGCAAAGGAACATCCCGGGGTCGGGTGCCAGGAAGCGAAGCAGGGCCAAGAGAAGTGCTGACTTCTCCAAGAATCCAAGCAAGTTTTGTAGCTGCACAGAGATGTAGCTTCCCACTGTCTTCACGTGCACCGTCTCCTGTAAATCCCAAACCCTCCCATTCCCAGCTTGACATCACTGTTAGCATGTCAGAGCCCAGTGTTACTGTGAAGTTGGTACCTCTCTCGAAGTGACGACTTGCAGCTTGCCCCTACCTTGTTCCCAGCAAATGTTTACTGGGTGTCCTTGTGAGCCAGGGTGCTCTAGGCACTGAGGACTTGGTAATGACTAAGATCCAGTTCGGCCAAAGCAGCTCGGTCTAGAGAATAGAGGAGATTCTGAGCTGAGTAACACAGAAGCCTGTGCCATGGCAGGGCTATTGTGTCAATGTCCTGTCAGCGGACAACACTGGTTGTTATCCTTATCTTCCTCAAACTAAAAGGAAACATTGGGGAACATTTTCAGCCTTACTGTCGATAAGAACCTGGTTTTCTATAATTTGAAGACAATGAGAAGATGGAAGTTGGGTTTTCCATAATTAGACAAACAAATTATTTTACTTAGTAGAGCAGGTCCACCTCCTAAGTGGCCCTCACTATCCCTTCTACTTTGCACAAAGGACCTTTTACTTTCTGTCCTGATGAGCCATGGACAGAAAGGTCTCTTGGCAAATTTCTACCTGTGGGCCGTAGACCGTGTGACTGTACGGTGTTGGGCTTCAGAGTCTCATCGTGGGAGTCTCGGCCCATGCCTTCAGTAGCCGTTGGAAAGCTGGCATAGCATCAAATTGAGGGCAGGTGCAGGCAGGAGGGAATAAGTATAATTTACTTTGCTGATGGCCCTGGTGTACTTTTCTGATCTGCCTTTCTCCCTCCCTCCCCCTGCCTCACTGGAAGTCATTGATACCATCCCAGCCAGATGTGACCCTAAGATGCTGTCACAGTGACAGCCAGAGTGGGGACTGGGAAGAAGCACACAACAGTAACTACCAATTTCCAGCAGCTGTGTTGTACCTTCTTCTCTCCCGGGGGTGTGATGGAGCTCAGGCTAAGGAGAGAAAAATTGTCAGCGGTGAAAGAGGTCCAGGATCCGAGGATGTCTCTCACTTCGACATTCCCAGCATCTTTCCAAAGCAATCAGACTACGGTGTGCACACATGTGCTTATGTGAGCTGTGTGTGCACGTGAGCACGCACACACGCATTGAGACTGTGCTCTCTGGTGGTTATTCATGATGGAGGCACCTCCTAGCTCAGTGCTCCTGCCTCTAATTGCTTTGACCTTTCTATGGTCATTTCATTTCATTTTCTATTCTCTTTCTCTCCCCTCCTTTCTTTCCCCTAGGCAGTCCTCCTCCTCAACTCTAGATTTGTATCACTAACCAAGAGACTCGGATCTCAGAATGTTTTAGCATCAAACATAGTCTTTCTAAGTATAAATGCCCTCCAAGCTGCCTCCACTAGTCCCGGATAGGAACTTAGTGTCCGAAGAGGAAGTTCTCCAAGGTGTAATGATGCCAGTTTGAGTTTGAAGCCCTAGAAATGGGACCAGCTGGATCTCCACAGTGCTAGGATGCTGCTGGATTTGAACCAGGCTGAGGCTAGTTCCCAGGGAGCATGGGCATGTGGGTTGTTTACTCAGAAGGATGCCTTTCCCTTCAAGTGTAAAATACAAGTCTAGATGACCAGAGAGGAGCAGTGAAGACTCCCCCGTGTAGCAGTGAATGGAACCCCAAGAGCTGGGGTCTTTTTAAATACCCAAATAGCTGAATAGATGTTTCTAGGGAAAAGAAACTAAACCAAAACTCAAGCTCCTATGTAGTTTTCTTAGGAAATGACTCTTTAAACCAAAGCCTCACCATGTACTCCCAGAATGCCCACGTGTCAAAAGCACCAAGAGAAGGAAAAATCTAGAGTCAAACACCATCTCCATTGATTTTCTTATCTTTTTTCAGATGTGGGAATCTTTTATAACCTTTGAGCCAGACAGCTGTTTAATACAGAGAATCTGCTACCCAAACAGTGTGCTGGTGGATTATAATCACAACAATGAGGAGAATTAGCGTCTCTCAAAGTCTTCATCTACTTGCTCACTTATCCATTCATCTATCCATTCACCCATTGTTTCCCTTCACTCATTTTACCAGTATTAGATGAATTCTTGCAGTTCAGTAATTCAATTTAACGTATATTTATTGAGCATTTCTTATGTTCCCAGAAGCAGGGGCAGAGAAGAATAAGACCTGCCTTCCAGGAGTTCAGAATACAAGGCATGCAGTATTCACAAAGGAGTCAGGCTCCCTGATAGAATGGCAGGGATGTACAGGAGATGGACCACTCTGGGGGGACATGGAAATTTTGGTCCTGAGGCTGGACAGGGAACCAGAGAGCAGATGCCCATACCTTGGGAAAGCATTCCTTAGTAGCTTTGGCTATTAGAGTAAACTGTTTCACTGTCTTAGCAAACCTAAGAAACCGCCATGATACCCAGAGCGCTCTTGCTCACTGTATCTGGTGGCTGTGGGATATAGTTTCAGGCACCATCGAAGACCGTACACCTGCTAGCAGTCCTTCCATCTGTAAGTCAGCTGTTCCCAACATGGTGCTCAGACCAGGATACCACTCTCCCTGCTCATACGCTCCGCATGAGGTCAGGACACCGGCCCATTGCTTTCAGAGCTTGTTTGAATGCATGCAGTTTGGTTTGCTGGCTTGCCTGATGTTAGGATCGGGTGGTTTTTCCTCCCTGAATGAGGCTTTTACTGTTCTGGCTGCCTACGGAGTTTTCAGCAAAGAATGGGTAGGTGCACAGGGCTGGAGCAATATTCAACTTGCTTCTTACTCTGTGACCCATGTGGTGGCCACTCATGTTCCAGGCAACATAGGTCATCAAGAGCAACCACACATTGAGCTCTTGCCCTGAGGACATTCACTGACACCAGAGACACTGAGTGGGAAGCACTGTGGCTTTTATGACTTGCACCTGCTCTTTGACAGACAATGGCCTCTCTTGGTACTTGTGGAAACCATCTAGTCTCTAGATCCACAGTGCTTATACTGAAGAGAAGGTACACATGATGTGAAAATCCGTGGAAATAAGCTTGGATCAGAGAGGCCTTGAGAAGTTCATGGTAGAGGTATTGCCTCTCCTATTTTTTCCCCTAATGAAGGTACAAGGCAGGGGTCTTTTCACCCAGTTAGATGCTAGTTTCAGAAAGGTCTTTGGTATTTTCCCTCTAGTATTCCCTTTGTTTGGTCTGGGTTGAATAGGAAGGCTCTGTGTTTGTTTCAGCAAAGGAAGAGCCATCCGTAGTCTAAGGTCTGGGGCTCCTGAAAACTGCTTGACCTTGGACACGAGGAGCCAGGACATCTCTCACCTTCTTTAGGAAAGCCACAGAGCTCTCTCTGTGGCAGACCCAAGACCTGCCCTGTTTGCCTCTCCAGATAAGGGTGACAGCAGGCCAGGTCCCTTTTCAGTGTGGCTTTATTTTTCTTTTTTACTGAGAAGATCTGTTCCCAGATCGGAGATAAGGACCATGCCACTCCAGCATCACCCTACTTAAGAGACAGCCACCAATGTGTCCTCTCCACCCAGTCCGCCCGAAAGTGTGTGGCCTGGAATAAAGGGAAGAGCCAAGCGGCGCTTTCCACTGCAATCCTTGATGAAGCTAAGTCTTGTGTGACCCAGAGGAAAGGACCCCCAGACTAATCAAGAACCCAAGGGAACCTCTAAGGCAAAAGGGGGCTTGTGCTGCTGGCAGGGCAGTTTAGGGGGACGGAAGCCAGAGGTAGGGCTAGTGGCTTCCTCCAGCTTCCTTAGGGCAGGTTGGTAACCCAGGAGCTGGGTATGGGCTCCAGAGGGGTGGCACACTGCGGCATGGTGCCCGGAGTGCTGTGTCTGCCTGTTTTCTGATGAGAGTCTGTTATTCCCACCAGATTTTCCTGCTCTCCCTAAACACAACAGAAGCACTTAGAGGAAAAGGGAGAGCCTGCTTCTGACTTATGTTCACCACAAAAAATGCTCATCACCCAAGGCCCAGCTTTCCCTAGAATCCCTCTCCTGGCAGGTGCCAGCACCCCAGCTGGGGTTGCTCTCCACCCAGTTCTTTTACTACAGCCTCTAGTCCAATGCAACACCCACATCTTGCACATCCGACAGCAAGCACTTGGTGAATAAAGGTGGATGCTAGTGAGCAGGCAACAGGCTCCTGTGCAGGCCCCGTGTTACAGGCCCTGGCGTGACAAAGCCTTGCGGCTGGGTACATGGCTCCCTTGCCTTTCTCTCCCTAGTACTGTTTCATCTTTCCTGCTTGTGTTGACTCTTTTGCTTTCCTCTTCCTAGCATGGAGACACACTGAACTTCTAGTTTCTCTAGTCCGATGGCCTTGGTACTCTTAGCTCAGCGATTCCTCCTGGTCAAGGAAGGGCCCTGAGGACAGAACCATATAAAGACCGACTGCCCCTCCTCTGCTAGTCACTGCTGCTTTCCTGAATACTCCACTCTTTCCTTCACAGCCATTCCATGGCCAGGAAGGCTTTACAGCTATGTATATGGTTATAACAATGGCCAAGTCTGGAAGGTGGGGGGGGAGCTACCTACTGCTACCACTGGGTCATTTGGACCCCCTGACTTCCTTCCTGTTCCATAGCTCCCTCTGCTGTCAGTGACGCCATCTTGCAAAGTCCACACAGCCCTGTCCGATCTGGCCCTTGTTTCTACAGCCTCATCTAGCCCTACTTCTCTACTTCCTGCTCTCCACTTCTTATTTCCTCCTACAATTGCATCTCCTACCCTGTCTTTATCGTTGCTTTTTATGTCTGTGTCCCCAGCTACTGGGGACTTCCTATTTACAGTACAAAGCCTAGCAGGTCTTAGGTTCATTGATCCCACTCAAACATTCCCTGAGTACCTATCCAATGCAAGGCACTGCTCCTGGCACTTGGGATTCACCAGTGACCTAAACAAACCAAAGCCACCTGTGCCCATGAAACCTACACTATGGCATTTAAGACAACAAATGCCTGTTGTGACATGTAAGGAGCCCACACATTCATAAAGTGATAAATGCTATGGAAAAATAGAGCAAGGCGTGTGGGAATAGGGATGCTCAACAAATTGTTAAATTGAATTTCACTGCCATGTGGACATATGTGGGGAACTCTTCTGCACTGACTCAGCTCAAGCCAGTAAGCCACAGGCACATTTTTTTTTTTTACACAATGTCTCTAACTATAAAACAGCAAGCCATTCAGAGCAGGCGGGTCTCTGAATGCTTCTCCATTTTTGGTCCTATCACACAGAGAACACATCTATAACTCAATCGAGGCACAAAGATAGAAATCAAATGGAGGCAGCAGTTAACAATTTTCATATTCCTTGGGAAGATCACTTGGGATGACCAGGACTACAATCCTAATGCAGACAGACTAACTATACTGAACTCCTAGGCTATGAGACAAGACCTAGGAGTCTACTTTGGTTGATTGTCCCAAATTGTCCCCATCTTAGGGCCCAGTGTAGTGGGGATGCATTATTATGTCCTTCCAGATACAACTGGTAGCATGAAGACAATGATATGTGTCAGGGGGTCCCCAAGCTGTGTGGTGTATCCCACATCCAGTTAATCTATAGTGCTTGTAAGAGCTGTTGCCACCCCCAGAGCTCCAGGGTGAGGTGGAATGTGAGCATTTCTAAACGAGCACCTAATGATACTGGTACTTGAGGCCACATCTTGAGAGCTGCTGATGGAAATCAATTAGGAAGCTGGTACCTTAGAATCTAGAGTTTATAAGCTAGGTTCACAAAAGACAGCCTTGGGGTTCATTGTTAGTAAACCAAAAGTAAAGTGTGTTTTGTGCTTGGAAAACATCAGAAGAAATAGATTTGAGAAGCTGAATCAGAATATATTTCCTCTTTGATAGAAACACTGTCCTGTGACTTGTCTTCACACTCCCTCCTGCCTGAAGTATAGGGGACATCTGACAGCCACATCCAGGAGCTGTAGGGAGAGGGTGGAAGTCAGGGGACAGGGAGTTCTGAAGAGGTTCTCACAGCAAACTCCCCACAGCCTGAAGGAGCCAGTTCTGGCTTCCATTGCCTCTAATTCCTGCAGGCGTTTGTGACTTGCCACAGAGTATCTCCATCAGCCCATCAGTCACAGGCTCGGCACCTCCTCCATCTAAGCTGTGGTGTCAGGGATAAGGCCCCTTCTCTGACACATAAGCCAGGGAGGGTACTGCCTTTCCTGGCCCATTTGCCTGTGACGCACTCACGTTGAGCACTCTATTCCCCAGAGCCCAGGAATGGAGATCACTTTCTCATGTGACGTAAGCTTCAGTCTCTAGCCCTGTCAGTAAAGCTAGCCCTTTTCACAACCCAAGGTCAGCCCTCCTTAGGGTCCAGCTTAAGATGTAATAGCTACAGAAGCCCAAATGAGCTAAGCCCGCTCTAGGATGGAAAAACCATGTTTTGTGAGGTGACCCACCTTCCTAGACAAGTGAGTAGAAAGGCACTAGGATTCTGTTTCTTTCCCAGAAAACTAAGCAGCAGGAGAAGTCAGGCAAGACCCCCCTTCCACTCCTGAGCGACACTGCACAGGTCCTTATAGCTCAGGTCAAGGTTGTAGGAAAGGAATTTAAATAGGGAGGAAGCCAAGTATAATGGCAGCTGCTGATCCACTTACCCAAACCCCGGCTGAGCCCCTTTGCTTCCTGTTGATCTGTTCACACTCCCGCCTGTCTGTCTCTCCCTCTACTCGGCTTGCCTGTCCTAACTCTCCTTCGTCTTTCCAGATGCAGGACGCTATGGGCTATGAGTTGCCCTGGGTGTATTTTGTCAGTCTGGTCATCTTTGGATCCTTTTTCGTTCTAAATCTGGTTCTCGGTGTTTTGAGCGGGTAAGCTGACCATTTCTGTGTCCTCTTTACCATGCAGCCGAGCAAGGTCCCAGGTTCCACTGCGTTCAATGCAGCATCCTCAGAGACAGGACCCTAACAGGCCCAGGAAAACGGGGGAAAAAAAATTCTCCATGCAAGCACAGATTCTGACCATTGGCTGCACAGGCAGTTTGGCCTTCTGAGTTACACATTGAGGATCCCGGGTCCCACGCTGCTCAGCTCAGCGCTGGGGAGCCGGTGGCTGGCGCTTGGCCGTGCTCGGTTGCTGTGTGTGCCCGACTAACTATCATTCCATTCTTCCAGGTCAATGATGCCGTAGGAAGGGACTGGCCCTGGATCTATTTTGTTACACTAATCATCATAGGGTCATTTTTTGTACTTAACTTGGTTCTCGGTGTTCTTAGCGGGTAAGCAGGACCAAGGAAATGGTCTTGATTTTTCCATTCATTTTTATTTATTCTTTCTGCTATTCCTGGCACTATTCTGTTTCTGGCTCTGATGAACCTGGGATAAAGGGTCACTCAGGAGCCTCGAAGTGAAGGTCTTTGGCCTGACTGTGAAGAGGGTCGACTGCTTAGGAATTAACTCATTGGTATGAGTGGTGGACCCTGGAAAAGAAACACTCAGTCCCACCCCTATCCCAACATACACACCAAGCCCTTCCCAGTTCTAGTAGCTGCTCAGATAGTCAGGCTGTTTCCCCTTGTGCCCTGCTCACTCACCCTGAGTAGCAGCACAGAAAGATCCCTGAGTGGGAAGGGCTTCCCAGCAGGAATCTATAAGAACATTCACGCACACACACAACACTCACAGTGTCCTTGAAAAGAAATACTGGTCTGATGTCATGAGCCAGTTGTCATCTGCAGGCAAATAATACAGACTTTAAATCACTTTTATTTAGTGAACAGACCAGAGAAGGAAGAGTTGGGGTTTTGGCCCAGCATTGTCAAAAACAGAAACAGCTAAAACTCTGTGGCTGTGTGTGTGTATGTGTGTGTGTGTGTGTGTGTGTGTGTGTACATATATTTGCAAGCAAACACTAGTTCTCATGTCAAGGCCAAGCATTCCATCACTGATGTTTACTTTTCTGAATGCAAAGGACACGTAACTATTTAAAGCCACAGGTTACTATTATGAAGTTACAGATGAGGCATAATTTATTTTCCTTTAAATCTAGCTAGATGGCCACAGATATAAACCTACCAGTTTTCAGCCCTTGCTCAGATGCAGTTAGAAATGAAAGAATCGATCATGGTTGGGGCATCAAGTGACCCCAAGGATGGCCCCCTTCTCATCATGGAAGCCACTTATTTTTTTACTAGCTCATGTCAGCCATGCCAAGACCTGACACCTAAAGGCTCCTGGTGACCCTCTGGCCCTCTAGTAGGGGACCTACCTACTGACTTTGTTACAGCGGGAGGTAGGTGGGGGATCTGTTTCTGCTCTGCTGGGATAGGCCTGCTGCTTTCGTAGTCTTCCCAGACACCCAGGGACTTCCTGCTGGGGACAGTTCAGGAAGAAGGAAGGCTACTGTCAGTGCAGACTGACATGGCCAGGGCATGGGGTTCAGTCTAGAATAGACTGAAGGAAAGAACCTACTCCTCCCCTACCCCTCCCACGGCCCTGGATGGCATCTTGCCTTTTGCCAAGGTAAGACCACACAAGGGAGCAAGATGAAAGGGAGATGGAGAAATATATAAGTTCCTAGTTAGCTGCCTGGAGGGGACAGGGGGTTCGTTTTCATCTTCCAACACAAGAAAATGGCCTGTTGTTTATACATGAATCTCACAGACAGCATTGGAAAAAAATCAAACTCATTATCCCCTTTGAAGACAGAAATTTGGCTTTCGTAGCTCTGTATTTGCTGGATGCATAGTATCTGGCAACTTCATCTTTTTAAGCCTTCGTTTTCCATGTCAAAAAAATGAAGATAACATCAACTCGTAGGTGGTTGTCACTGTAGAGTGAACAGGAATGTCCGTGTAGAGTACTTAGGTGGTTGTCACTGTAGAGTGAACAGGAATGTCCATGTAGAGTACTTAGAGCAAGGGCTAGGATGTGGCCCTGGCGGTGCTGGAACTGCGATGCTTACTTTGACTTTTCTTTTAAGATAAGTAGCACAAGCCAAGAGAAATCACTTTGCTGGCACTCAGCAGACCTGGGCCTGGAGTCTCATTTTGGCCCCTGTTTTCTTATGGCCCCTGCTTCATCTACATTGAGTGAGCTTAGTTTTAGCACAGTCCAGAGCTCTAAGCCAAAAAAGAAAAAAAAAAAAAACAACTTTAAATTCCATTTTCTTTCCTCAGATGTTAGGAACCAAATCTTAGCATGTAAAATTTCTCCAGGAAGTCAACATGGAGAATGAGGACCAGCCTCCAAAGGCCCCTTCTTCAGCTGGCAGCCATTGCTGTCCCCTCCTCCCAGAGGAATGACCAGCCTGCTAGTGTCAGAGGAGCAGCAGCTGATGCAGAAGGGAAGGTCATTTTGATAGCATACCTTGATCTCATTTAGATCAAATGAGGACAGATGTACAGAATCCACAATTCTGACACTTAATAGTTTTCAAAACACTTAATTAGCATGGGACAGGAATATAGAGGCTCTTTAACCTTTGCATCTGTGATCCAGAGTTCAATTGGTCTGTTCTGGAGCCTTCTAGTACCTGGCCATCCTCAAAGTTACAGCATGCTTCTGGCAGCTCCAGGAACATTCATGGACCCTTTGCCCAGCCAGGCAGGTGTCTGTAAAAAGTTGTCTACCCCTTCTGGCTTTGTGTCAAAGGCCAGTTTCTCCAAGTGTGTTGCCTCTAACCTGGGCAGTGTCAAACCTGGAAACAGGCTCCTGTTGGTTGACCACAGTGGTGATGGTTTGGAGTTGGCAACTTGATTAATCCAGAAAACAGTTAACCACAAGTGTTTGGGGAAACACCCACTCATTCAACAATTAGACTTTAATTAGACCAACCTTCCAGAATATTCAGAAAGTCTTAGAGCCCATGGAATGCACTACCCCAAGGATAGCATGAACAGTCTCCCCCAAACTGTGCCAAGGCCTGTGCTCTGCATATCTCATGTATTAGTTTATTTAGTATCCATAACAACTCCATGAACTGGATGCTACTCATATTTTCATTTCACAGAATAAAAGAATGAGGCTTAGATGAGGAAGCCACATCCATTCTGATGGGAAAAATTAGAGGATGGAGGGCTGGGCCAGAATATCGTCAGTCCACAGGCTCTTCCTATAACTTCATGCTACTCCTGCCCTAACCCATTGCAGGAGGAAGTGGAGTGGTAAAAGTCAGACATTATAAAAGTGGAAGGATGATGGAGAGATGTGAAAGAAGCAGTCCACAAGCATCTGGACACAGCCAGGGAACAGAAAAGGTCTAAGCTGGAAAATGCTACCTGGCTGGCCCAGTGGGGCCAGGTGTTCAGACTGGAAACTATACAGAACTTGATGGGCCCTGAGAGCAGAGGCAATGCCACCGTGGCTGTGAGGTATTCTGTGACTGAAGAGTTGGGGTGTGAACCCTATATCCACCAATGAATAATACTCTTTTACAGCCCCATGACATAACTCATCCTCATAAACTGTGTCCTTTAGCCAGCAAGGAAAGGCTAAAGTGTGCTTGGTGTGTGCTGATCAGAGTAGGGATGGCATTCCATACAGTTTCTGTTGTTAAAGTAGAAATTCCAAGATTTGGGTTACCTGAGGGGTCTATATCCTTTATCTGCAACCCTCACATATCCAGAAAGCCTGCCTTCTGATGGGACCACATAGTGTGAAGAACACACAGCTCTTGGACTCTTTTCAGAAATCGTCCAAGCTTTGTAGTGATCCTCAAATCTACCCTATGCAAGGCACAGGACTGCATCGATACAGGTAACAATTGGATTAGAAATCCAGAAAGCCCAGTCGCTAACCTGTTAGAATAGAAATAACAGTTGACAGTGAAACTTTTGAAATTGTATTTGAAGCTGTAGATGGGGGAGTAGAAGCCTGTACTCTGAAGTCTGGGCCTTTGGATGAGTCTGTACCTAGAATCTCTTACCTGGGTAACTGCCCCATCCTTTTCCACATCAGGAAATAGTCATGTCTCTTGCTTACAAAAGCAGAGTCCCCGATGAGTGGGACAGTTACAGCCTGAAAGGATACCTGGAATATGATGCCAGTGTTAAGACAAAACAATCCAGAGTGAGAAGGAGGCCAGCACATGCTATGGCAGCAGCAGAAGTGGCCATCCGGAGTAGATTCTCACCGTTCAGTGGTTATGTTCTGCCGATTCATGTTGGACAATGTACCAGTGAATGCTGGACCACCAATGCAAAGTGCAGAGTTAGATTCCTGTTAATGAGTATCTGATCACATTGACAACCCATTAAAACATCGCCCAGTGTGTGTTTCTGTCCACAACTTATTTAGTAACTGTCACCCGTGCGTTAACGTTAGACTCACAGCCATCAGCACTGGAACTCGTGCCTGAATGAGCTTATCTAACAGTTTCTCTGTAAGACAAGTCACAGCCTTCTCAATCATTAGAGTTGTGCTTGGGGCCTTTAAGCAGCAAAATCTCTAATAAACAGCACAAAAGTACACACACACCCTCACACACACACACACACACACACACACACACACACACACATACACACACACTAAATAGACTGACCGTGAAGAAAGACATTTGCTTACATTATGGCAACTGAATTATGGAGAGCACCTTAAAGTATTTTATGTTGTCTGACCTCAACAGGGAGCATGGGACTTTTTTTTTTTTTGGTTTTTTGTGGGTTGTGGGGTTTTTGTTTGCCACTCCATGCATATCTATACATGACTGAAAGTGCCATGAGCATTGATTGGGAGGTTGCGAACAAATTTTAGCAAACAAATTTTATCTATTCAGTATTGATTTTCAAAGGGCTGAGTGTCCCACGTGATTCGCCCCAACCACATCCTGTTGCATGCTTTATGTGACTGAGCACCGACCACCCCTCCTCCCATGTTTTATCTTGGCCATTGCTAGTGACAGCCGCACTCCTGCCTTGTGACAAATCCCACAGTAGTAACTGATTGTCTTGCTGGCTCTGGACCTGGGCTGGGCACAGCCTGTCAGGCTGGGGTTTCATGTCTTCATCAGCTCAGACTCCAGAGCAGGCACATGGCTGGCATCCAGGAGAGGAAAGAGACCCAGAGGCTGCCACGCAGTGCATCACTGTCACATGGCCAGCATCCAGGAAAGGAAAGAAAACTGGTGACTGTCACCAGTGCATCACCACCATGTGCAGCCTGGAGTTCCACGCAGCCACAATTTGGCTGCATCCCTGCCCGTGGCACTATCAAAGCCCCATTTTGCCTTGTTGCTCAGACCACATCTTCATCCTGCCACAGCGTGCCCTTCCTCTACAGGAGCAAAAGAGGGCAAGTCTCATAGAAACATGCAACCACCCTGTTCGCCTTTGTCCCCTATGACTGTTCACTTCAGCTTCCACTCCAAGGGCAGATGCTGTAAAACAGGACCAGGACCACTTCCTAACTCCAGGTGAATCTAGGGCCTGTTCTTCCAACACTATAAGAGGGGTGATGGGCGTCTGATAACCAGAGCTGAACTCTCTGAAATTATCCAGAACTAAAAGACTCCCTTAGAAACTTCATCCCTTTGAAACTCACCCAAACCCACTCTAGAGTAAAGGAAGGAAAAAAAGCACATGGGTGTTGCAGAAAGATTGTAAAAAAGGATCCTCAAGGTACTGGGTTTTTTGTTTTGTTTTTAGTTTATTTACCTAGGGAGGGAGTGCACTCTGAATCTGTTGTCTCTGGAGAGTGAGGTCAAGGTAGGGGAGGCATGTATAAAGTAAGAAGGGAAGACAAGGAGGGACTGACATCTTTCCATGGCCACCCCAATAACAAAAGCAGGTGAGCAAAGCCAAGCCAGATCCTACCTTCACCATGATCTGCCAATCTAGAGCCTCTTCCCTGGCATACAACTTTCTGGGAAGGAAATAAAAGTGCCCACTGCTTGGCAGAAAGCCCAAGAAATAGCAAGTTCAATCCGATTATAATTGCATTCAATCAGATTTGAGAAGAAAAATCAATCCAAACCAGAGTATTGTTAAGGACATAGTTGAAGAAGCCTCGTTAGCTTGAGAGCCCCCCAATTCTCCTTCTCCCAATTAAAACATTCCCTGGGCTCCTCCCAGGTCTCAACCCCATTTCACCACAATCGTGAGAGTGTGAAAGCCTGAGCGTTGCCAAACACCACAGACAAAATGCAAACACTGGGTGGGTGGTATGTGGTGACAGAGTCTCCCATATATAACACTGGGCTTCACTGAGCCTTTTGTCCCCCAAGGTTTATAGGTGACATGATTACCTCCAAGGCGCCTTTCCTCTGCAGCACCGAGCTTGTGCATGGAGCTCTATTGACTGGGTTCCATAGCTGGTTGTCCCGATTCGGGCTCTTACTGAGAAGAAAGGCAAGAACCATGGCCCGGGAATTAGTCAAGACACCAGAGAATTCACATGCACACCCCACCCACCCCTATCCCCACCCTACCACCAAGAACCCCAATTTCAGTGGGTCAAAAACCCAAAGAAAACAAACTCTCCTGCTACCCATAGAAAGAAGGGGCTTGCACCTGCGGTGGCAGCTGGGAACTAACTTATCTGTCACTGCCTCTGCTCCAAGCCCCAGCCTTGCTTAAAGTGAATTCAGAGCTAGAGAAAAAGAAGGACTATGTCAGAGACAAATAAGAATGTCCTCCAGGGTTCTTTCTTCTAGCAAGTCCCAAGCAAACTACAATATCTGTTGACTATTGCTTTAAACTGCAACATTAACTTTGATATCAACTGCATTTTACGTATTTTTCTATCCTGGATAGATTGCTTTAACCCAAATAGTGGGCCCCAGGGTATTTTCTTGTGTTTGGAATCCTTATGGGTATCCCCATGAACTCCCTCCAGGCATGCTAAGAACTGTAGAGTGAATTGTAGCCATGAAGACAGAGATTGAAGAGATCAAACCTACTGGGCCCCTAGACAATGGGGGTACTGGTAAAAATTTACTGCCCTTCTGTGGGGAAATGCCCTGATCAATCAATTGCATTGGCTAGCTTTCATGGTGTAAATATTCCAAACTTAGCTGTTATCATACTATCAAGGAGACATCCCTGAAGCCAGAGTTGGGAAAAGAAGGCATTATTGGCTCAGAGACCCAGTACAAGTAAGTGGGCTCTGTCATCACTGGGTCCCAATAATCTCTGTCATTTGAAGATGCTTTGTCATTTTTTTAAAAAGGTATGACCTAATCCTGGGTGACACGTGTTTCCTTGTTGTAGAGGGGCAGTAGAGAGACTGGAAGGGGTCTCCGGATCTTTGGAGAATAGCTGTTATTCACAGGCAAAACCTATTATGATCTAGAAAGTGAATGAACAGCCCTCCTCCCTATAGATTTTCCCAGCCTGTGTCAAGGGCATGCTCTCAGTGCTCCCTGCTCTCGTGGGAGTGAAGACACAACTGGGTGCTGGAGGTAGCTGTCTGTAGAAAGGGGGTGATTTGGAAAGGGTTCTCCACACAAAGCAATTAATACCTGCCTTGTCTCCTCTTCTCTCCATCTTCCCTCCTGGATGGACTCTCTGTGCTGCCCTGCCCTACCCTCCCTCTCACACTAGAGAGTTTTCCAAAGAGAGGGAGAAAGCCAAAGCTCGGGGGGATTTCCAGAAGCTTCGAGAGAAGCAGCAGCTAGAAGAAGATCTCAAAGGCTACTTGGATTGGATCACCCAAGCAGAAGACATTGACCCTGAGAATGAGGATGAGGGGATGGACGAAGACAAGCCCCGAAACAGTGAGCAACTACCTTCTCTTTGACTGGGGTCTGGGAGATGGGAAGAGCAGTGAGCCAGGAGAAGGTATTTCATGCAGACCTTTCTTTCTAGCCTATAGTTGATGTTCCTGGAGGAACATTGTTAATGGTTGCTGTCATAGGAATTAGTCAGATGGGCAATTACTGCGATTAATGTAGAAAACCTCATATTCCATTTAGAAGCTTTGACCTGAAAACACAGTTGAGTTTGTGCTAAGGTAAGTGAGACATGCCTCTCCTGTGGGCTCTGTCCCTTGAGGTGGGGACAGGCATCCTGTTCCTGTTCCTTGGGAACAGTTTCCACTAGCCAGCTGCTTGGAAAAAAAATGTGTGCTGGGCAGGATTCTCTCCACACTGGCAGTGGCCTTCCAGGTTCCCTCCAGATTTTTCCAGAGGAACGGAGTGAACATTCTCATTGAGTTGGTAAGTTATTGTCAAGGATCCAAGGAAATGCTTCGGGAAGGTTGGAGGAAACACAGGAATTCCACAGAACCCACTTAGACTATAAACACAGAGCCAGGTCTCTTCCACTAGGTTTTCTCATGGCATATTGCTGGAAAACCCACAGAAGGGAGAAAAATGGGAACAACAGGTAACTGTAAATGTTTAAGATAACAAATCATGGAAAGTCAAACTTAAATCTGATTAGCCCACTAGTTTTCAGAGTGGGATCCTTGAATCAATGGTGGCATATGGAACTTAGTAGAAATGCAGACTCTTAGGATCCTGCCCAAACCCACTGACTAAGGAGCCCTAGGGTGAGTTAACCAAGGATTGTGATGCACTGTGAGTTTTAGAACCTTTGGGTTGGCTCTAACTACTGTGCATTGTAATAGGTCTTTCTTTGGACCACCAGCTCCCAAATAATGATATGGAGACTTTTTATTAATTATAAAAGCTTGGCCTTAGTGTAGCCTTGTTCCCAACTAGCTCTTAAAACTTAAATTAACCCGTTTATATTAATCTATGTTCTGCCATGAGGCTTATTACTGCTCCTTGGTACCATATGTCCTACTTCCTCCATGTCTGGCTGGCGAATCTCCTGCCTGAGATTCTTTCTCAGAGTTCCTATCTCTGCCTGGAAGTCTTGCCTGTCCTCTTCCTGCCTAGCTATTGGCCATTCAGCTCTTTATTAAACCAATCAGAAGATGCCTTATGCAGGTGAGATAAAACAGAGACACAACTTTACACAGTGTATAAAAAGATTATCCCAACAGTGCATGCTTCCTGTGACCTTGATCTCTGTGGATCTAATATCCTGCCTCTTCTGTGCTCAGCATTTCTCTTGCATTTTTTTTTGTTTGTTTTTCGAGACAGGGTTTCTCTGTGTAGCTTTGCGCCTTTTCCTGGAACTCACTTGGTAGCCCAGGCTGGCCTCGAACTCACAGAGATCCACCTGGCTCTGCCTCCCGAGTGCTGGGATTAAAGGCGTGTGCCACCACCGCCCGGCAATGCTCTTGCATTTTGTATGTTTGAATAGTTGTATTTCTGTCCTTCCAAGCAGCATGATTTAAAGACAGATTTTCTTAAACATTGGGCGAGCATTGAGCCATGCAGGTGAGGGTAGCAAGATAGAATCTGCACCTAAGCAGAGAGGGACTCAGAAGAGATTCTGCCTGAGAAGAACAGGTGGAGGGAGAAGACAGCAAGGGTGTGAGCAGACTCTCGCTCTCTCGCTCCAAAGACCGATGTCATAAATCTATCAACTACTCCCTTCCCAGTAACCCTGCTCAAGGTACAAAGACAAAATTAAAACACAGAAACAGCAAGGGACTGGTAACAACGTAATTTAATAACCCAAGGAAGCCTTCATGCTCCACTAAGTAGTTTTGCAAGCTGGAAGATAGGGCCTTTGATAGATTATTACAAGGAGCAATGGTGCCACTGAGGGTTTTTCTGGAAAAATGCATGACAGCTTCTGTTACATTGTTGATGAAACTGCAGGGCAGTTGATTAGTTTGTGGCATTGAGTGGAATAGTACACAAGTCCGTTGGCCTGTGAGTCACAGAAGGGCTTGCGGAGAGGTTGATGTCTTGGCTCTCTTTCTGCCCTTGCTCAGGATTAATCAGGATAAATATTTTGTTAGGATGTGTCATGTGGAAACGGGCAATACTCACAACATGCTTCACAGCCAGTTGCCATTCACAGAGACACAGGGTTATGTTTCCTGTTAAATTAAGAGCTTCCAAAAAACACACGCTGCTTCTCCATCTTGTCCTTTATAAGAGTGAATTCCAAGGAGAGTTCCCAGCCTGGGGCATACCTTGCTGTTGGAGCAGATTGCACTAACAGGCTTGTCCAGTAGCTGGTCACTGCTAAGGTTTCTTGAAGCCCAAACATGGATAGGGTTAGACTCCAGAGAGTCACCTCACCCCATACTGCTTCCTTATGGCTGGAGGAACATTTGGAGTATGCTTCTTGTCCCTGGCCAGCCCTGTCCTAGGAAAACTGGAGTGGGATTCTAGAGCCTAACTAAATGCAAAGATGGAGGAGTTGTTCCAGGGGGTGAGTCAAGGGAATGAAGATCCAAAGAAGCAAGAAATGGGAAGTACAGTAGTTAGACATGATAAAAGGGAATGTGAGACTCTAGAACAAAGTTGGAATGAGCCCATAAGATTCCCAATAAATATGGAGTAAATGAAATTTAATGATTGGATTCAAGGAAGACCTTGCAAAGAGTAAACATTTAGTCTATTTGTGGATGGATGAAAAGATGAACTGGATTCTAGGTTTATAGACAGTTTACTGTTTATATATAGTTTAATTGCAGAAAAGGCAATTCTGTGGCTGGAAAATATATTCTTCTCTTTAGGACTTCATGATTTGCCCTTTGAAGCAAATACAAGGGGGAGAAATGCTTGCGTTTTAATTAGTGTAGTTCTAGTTTTTGAAATGTCTAAAAGATTACACTATGGGATTTTTGCCAACTCTTTTCAACTCAGAAATAAAATTGTGTGTGAGTGAGTGAGTGTGTGTGTGTGTGTGTGTGTGTGTGTGAGAGAGAGAGAGAGAGAGGGAGAGAGAGAGAGAGAGAGAGAGAGAGAGCAGGAGACTGTATGTGTGTGTGCATGCACATCTGTGATAAATGTGTGTGGATGCATACACACACCATCACATGCATGTGAAGGACGGGAAGGATGGGTCAACCTCAGGTATCATTCCTAAGGAGCCGTCCACCTTGTTTCCTTAGGCAGGGCTTCCGCTGGGACCTGGGGCTGGTTGACTAGTTTGGTTAGCCAGAAAGCTGTAGGGATCTGCTTGTGTCCACTTCCTCGTCACTAGGATTACAAGTGTTGGCTGCTCTGCCTGGGTTTTTTTGTGGATGCCAAGAATGGAGCTCAGGTCCTCAGGCTTGTGCATCAAGCATTTTACCAACCGAGCTGTCACCCCGCTCACAAAGTAGAGAGAAGGTGTGTGATTACTTCATCACACTTCCGGTGACTCCGCCTCTGCCCCAGCCAGCATCCCTGTCAGCACAGACCATGGCCACTAGTGCCAGTCACTTGGAGGCAATGCTCGCTGCATTGTGGGGACAACTCAGAGACACATCATTGTGCAATAGCTGAACAAACATAAGTGGACCTGTCAGTCAGCTTTCCTAAGAAAGCCACTGAGAGGTGGAAGAATTAGAGGTTGGAAGATAACAGAGAAAAAGCATTTAGTTGGGAGATTTTCCCTTAAAAGATTAGAGAAAATTGAGTAAACTATGTACAAACAGTTAACTTTATGTAAACACAGACTCCAGTTATTCTTGCCAGCCAGCTAGCCAGCCTGCTGTAAATTAAATGTCTACCCTTGAAGGCACTGTTGTTGGCACTAGTGATATAACAGTGAAGAAAGCAGTTACAACTCCCTGCCTTTGGAGAGGTTCTATTCGAACAGGTGGAGAATATATTAAACAGTATGTCAGAGTGATAAGTATTGCTGGGTTTTGGTGTTAGATAAGGTGGTCATGGCACACTACTGAGAAGGTGGTATCTAAATAAAGATTTGAAGGTAAAAAGGAAGCACAAAGGTATTTGGAAAGAGATCGTCCCAGGGAGAGGGAAGGGTGATGTAAAAGGAAGGAGCATGGCTGGTACATCTGAGAGCAAAAAAGAGGCTCATGCAGTTGGGTCTTGGGTAGAGGTGAGGCAGAAAGTGGTGGAGAGGATGCCAGAGAAGCTAGGAGAGGATTGTGTAATTTGTTGACATGAGGTCCTGGATTTGGGCTGGAAGTAAGCCAGCAGGCCACTGGAGGCTTTGAGAAGAGCAGTGATGCAATCTGACATGCATTTAACAGGATCCCTGTGGCCACCATGTGTAGAGGGAAATGGAGGCCACCAGGGCAGGAGCTAGCTGAGAGGAGACGCCCTGGGAAATGATGGGATGTTCTCTCGGCAATAATGGAGGCAGGGAGGTCAGAATTCAAGATAACATCATTTGCTGACAGATAAAATATGGGACATGAGAGACAAACATCGATGATATTCCAAGTCAGTGTAAGAATGGGGTTGTCTTTTACTGGCATAAGGAAAACAGAGCCAAATGGGGCAAGGATATGAAGACAGGCAACTCAGACCTTTAGGTTTACATGCCTATGAAATGTATAATAGGAAATGTTAGGTAGATGACTGGCAATGACTGAGTTCAAGGGAAAGCTTTGGCACTGAGCTGTCATTCAGTCATCAGCATAGAGAAGGCACTGAAATGCACTTGTCAGTGAAATCACCAGGGAAGGAGTGACTAGAGATAAAGTAAAACCAAGAACTGAGACCAAGGTTTGGAAACTGGTTGATAAAAAAAAAAAAGAGCCTGCCAAGAAGATTTGCAAAGTGAGACCAGAGAACTAGCAGGAATCCAGGGAAGAAGGGCAGTGCTGCTGGATGCCAGTGAGGTGAGGAACCACTGGCAGGAACGCTGACCGAAGCCTGGGGGCTACTCATTGGCATTCTTCAGTCTCTTGGGCTCTTAGTCATCTTAGGATGGCCCTAAGCATGAT